TATAACGCGTCGTCTTGATGAGATATTTGTTGTTGAGGATCACGACATCTCATCATCATGAAGCTCTCTACCTTTGCCGTTGCCGCTCTCGCCGCACCCTTCGTTCAGGCTGCCCCAACTGACATTCGGGAACTCGCCAACAGGCAGACAAAACCCAAAGAACTCAGTATGATATACCAGCTGTATGCGACATGATCGCTCGCTCACCATCACCAGTCCAACCCGAGTTCTACCCAGTCCTCCAACGATACACCAGATACGCCGTCGCCTCCCTCGCCACCTTCGTCTATGGCTTCGGAACCTGCAAAAGCCCTCCCTTTGGCTCAAAACTCGTCCGAAAAGTCGTGTCCGACATCGTAAACGACACCCAAGTCGCCGTCTTCCAAGATGACGCCGCCAAGGAATTCATCGTCTCCTTCGCTGGTTCATCTTCACTCCAGGATTTCGGAACAGACTTCAACTTCTTCTTCATGCCGTTTGATTCTGCACCTGGCTGCACGGGGTGCCAAGCCCATGGAGGCGTTCTGAAAGGATGGCGATCCGTCCAGGCTGGTGTTATCCAGGCCCTTGCCGAACTACGTGCTGAGCAGCCGTCCTACTCCACCATCATCACCGGTCACAGCCTAGGAGGTGGTCTGGCAAGCATCGCGTACACTGATCTCAAAGCAAACGGCGTACCAATCAAAATCGCATACACCATGGGCTCGCTGCGCGTCGGCAACCAACAGTACGCCGACTACACTGACAAGCTGTCTGGCGCGAGCGACACCCAACTCGGCACTCTCATCCGTATCACGCATCGGATCGACGGTGTGCCCGGCTTACCGCTCACCCCCATGGGTTTCGTACATACGCGCACTGAGATCTATGAGCAAGACACCTTACCCATTCTAGGTACTCAGAGTGCTGGGACAACGTACCGCTGCTTTGGTCAGGAAGCCCCGGATTGCAACAAGGGAACTGCTACGGGCTTTATCAACCAGGATCATTTGGTGTATACTGAGATCAACATGACGGATGGGGCGCAATGTAACAACTGATAGTTTGATGGTCGGAAGGAGAGGGATGACGATATTCATGATGATGCATGCTTGTAATGTACGTTTAGTTTTGTTTCTACCAATACAATACACTATTGTACTAGGACCGAGAGTTCCCATTCATTATGTTTGTTCTGACTCCCTAATAAGTACGCTCAAATGCCCAGACTTATAGGTTCCTCAGTCTGGCCCGAGTAATAATCGACTGATCTAGCGTAGCCATGATAGCTCGCCCATCGGCATCTGCCTGAAGCGCCTCACACGCCATGCTCAACGGAAAACCAGCTGATGAGATACCATACAGCATGAAGTCTTCCTGTAGCAGATACTCCATGCTCTTGTATGTGCAAGTACTGAGCTCAAGGCACTCCTCCCGCAACGCTTCGGGATTGTATGCCGCATCATCATGCACTACATGCTTCAATTCCGGAAACCGGTTCAACAGGCCCTGAATCTCCTTGAGGCAGAGGAGCTGGAAAGCCCAGAAGTAGACGAATACGTTTGCGATGCCGAGGCTTGGGTACCAGAGCGACTCGTAGGTGCCGCCGAGATCGTGCTCTACGCTTTGTCGACAGGAGATTGGTTCTAGGGTGTTTGCTAGAAAGCCGCTGTGCCAGTTTTTGAGTTGGGCTATGCTTCCCATGAGTTTGGTTATGAGTTGGTTGGCTGCCCCAGCCGTGCCAACGGCAGCGGCGTCGGGGGAAGAAGGCAGTACGACGTCGATCTTCTCCAGGAGACCAGGAATGTGTGCTGCGACTCCCAAGAGACTTTGTAATGGGGCACCTTTGTGATGCTGGAAGGGGAGTGTAAGCCAGGATCCATCTGCGAAGAACGTCGATTTGCGAAGTATGAAGGCTTTGAGCACCTAGGACGTAGACATGTCAGATCATGAAGTTTTCTCATGTGGCGTTGAACTTACTAAAAGTGGTCTGAAGCCCATGAGCATAGTATGCTCAATGCCCGATGCGAAGAGTTCTGGTGGCATGAGTTGAAACATTTTGCTGACGCCTTCCACATGTATCAGCCAACTTGACTCTTGGGTCGGCGACAGCACCTGTCATATGTCATTAGCCTTTGCTTGAACTAAATGCTTTGAAAGACAGCCGGAAAGACCAGTAGACAATCATTTGAGAGATGGACGAGTTTACCTCCTTCAGTGCCAAACACATAACTGCGGCTACCAGCTCGCTCCTGTAAGTGTCTCCCACAGCCGCAAGACTTTCTCCCAAAAGACGGAGACTATCCTCGTATTGCGCGACTACTGCGTTGAGACAGTCTCTACGCTCTCGATAAGCGGTAATAGCAAGTGCCAAAGCGCTCACGGCCGAGTATAAACACTGAGAATACGGTCCAGTCATATCGGCAGTCAGTTCTGGGAGGGCCTTGGCCCAAGAGCCACAAAACCATGAGCATTGTTCAGATGCATGTGTCGCATTACATGGTAGCTCTTGGACGGGGATGAAATTGCGCAAGATCAACGATACTTTCTCTCGTACAATGGAGGGATCTAGAGGATATGAACCATACGAAGGTGGTAAGTCGCTGGACGTGAAGGGCGCCTGCTGGGGAAGTCTAGTCGACTCGTCTTTAGCCTGAGTACAAACCGATTCGGCATCGGAAGGACATTGCGCATCCACTGGGAGAGGAAGCTTTGCCCGCGGAGCCGATTTCGGGCGCGCCCTTGGCTTTACTGCCGTTTTGGTAGCATCGAAGGGTACAAATAAGGCATCCGGGTACCCTTCGCATGTTCGCTTACTGAAAACACATTGAGTGCATGATGGACGCTTGCCATCGCACTGTTTAATAGCGGCCAAGATCAGCATATACACGACGGACCCAAGGAATCATGCTAACATACCTGAAGTTTTCGTTTGCGGCAAGTATCACAGAGATTCTTTTTCCTGACCTTCATGGCGGAGGTACGCGTCCGTGAGGGAACGCGATATGTTACCGCAAGCGGAAGGTATCGATGGGCTTCGGGGTTTTGCTCCCGAATTGAATGGCCTAGAGTGGGGCACTACCATGAAATCTGGTATAGGATGGAAATAGCTAGGGATGCGTTGACGCAACGCGGAGGGTGGCAGCTGAGACAGCGCCCAGCAATGATGTAGGTGCTGTGTTCATCCAATGAGCGGAAAACATGTGGGTCGGGGTTCGCTCCTTCGTTGGGCTTAGCGCTTGCGGCTCCAACGCTACTACCCCGGGTATCGTCCGTCATGTTTCTACACTCTACCAGAACTCATCAAATCATGGAAAAATTCTGTTTTGCTGATTAACGTTGTTGGTCTAGTAATCATTGTACGCTCGCCGATGTGCGAATTGCCCTAGGCCGTATGTCACGATGGCTCCCATTCATGGCGCGGCTTGGTATAAAGCCAACCACTGCGTTCCAGTGTATGGAAGGTTGATATCTGAGTACTGATCTATTACCAACCTACTATTCGACAAACGTGACATATCTCTATCACAATCATGCCGACCTCTACCTTCAAGAACAAAGTCACCATCACCCACATCGGCACCGCTACCGCCATCCTCGACATCGACGGCATCACCTTCCTCACCGACCCCTTTTTCTCTCCCGCTGGCACCGAGTTCAATGGATCCGCAGCCATTCTGAAAGTCCACGAGGACCCAGCTCTAAAGCTAGACCAACTACCCCACATCGACGCCATCCTCCTAAGCCATGAGAACCACCCCGACAACCTCGATGACTTAGGACGTCGACTTGTCGACGGCCGCCACGTCGTAACCACCAACGATGGCGCAAAGAATCTTGCACCGCGTCCGAGTGTCCTCGGGTTCAGTGACTGGCAAGAAAGAGACGTGCGGATTGCAGGTACCACGTTCCACATCACTGCTACGCCCTGTAAGCACTGGCCCGGCCACGAATGCGTCGGCTTCGTCCTTTCCACCGAAAGCTTCGGCGTCGCAGCAGATGGCCGTCCAAACGCAATCTACTTTTCCGGCGACACAGTCTACATTGGAGAGCTCGCGAAGATTGCAGACAAGTACCACATCACTGTCGCTATCATGAACTGCGGTAAAGCGACCTTCTACGAGTTCACTGATGAGGGTAAACCGGGTCAGCCGGGCGATGCTTTACAGATCACTATGGATGGTCGACAAGCGGCTCATCTGCTTAAGGATCTCAAGGCTGATGTGCTGGTGCCTATGCATTATGAGTCGTGGGATCATTTCAAGCAGGGCGGTGATGGGCTTGCAAGGGAGCTTGAGGAGGAGGGTGTTTTGGAGAGGGTGAGGTGGTTGAAGCCTGGGGAGGCTGTTGAGATTAATTGAGCTGTGGGTGGAGTGAGAAGGCTATGATAGTGTGTTCAGAGATGTATTGATAGTCGCTGGGCCTGAAATGCTTGAGCGGTGTTGTATTGTTGGAGCAGCGTAGAACATAGTAGCGACGACAGATAGACCTTCAGTTTATCTTTGCGCATCCAAACCAAATGATGACTAAGAAGTTACGCTCACATCCAAATCGCGTGCCCGAGTAATCGATGATTCAAGCAACTCGCGCATGTATTTCCTTCAGCGCACTACGGCATTCATCACATATTTTTCACCCAAATCCCGCATCCTCTCGTGATCAGCAACGCAACCCAACGAGAAATCTCTGCACTCTCTCACAATTTCTTCCAGCGAGCAGAACGCCGACATCTGTATGTATCCAAAGCTCAGTGGGTCGGCATTTGATACCACAATCAGCCTAGCGCCACTATCATCTAGACCAGAACTTGGCTCAACTTCGGGCAGAATCGTCCTTTAATGCTGATTATCAATCCGTACGAGTTCGCCGATGAGTGAACAAATCTCTCATCTCACACTTGTATGTCCGTGATGGGATAGTATATATAGTATCGAGTATCCTGACAGTCGGTATCACGCATCCGCTAGAACAGCACAAGATCGACACTTTCTACTTGGGAATTTTGAACGAAGAAAGAGAACATGTTTGGAAAAAAGACCACGGACGAGCATGAGGGGAAAGACTCTTCGACAGCAGCAGATCATGGCCAACCGAAACACGAAGATACCGAATCAGCCACCCTCCCATCCTCAAGCACGAGCATCGAGCAACAACCCGACGACGGAACCCCCGCTCAAGAGCCACCAGAAGGCGGTTTGATAGCATGGCTAGCAGTCCTCGCATTCTTCCTCGCAATCATGAACACATGGTACTTCCCCCTCCCCAGCCACCCATCACCCCCCTCTAACCACAACCTTTACAGGGGCATGATAATCTCCTTCGGCGTCTTCCAAACCTACTACGTAACCACCCTCCACCAAACCCGTTCCACAATCGCCTGGATAGGTTCCCTCGCCGTCTTCCTCCTCTTCTTCACCGGCATCATCAGCGGGCGCCTCACAGACGCCGGGTTTTACCGCTCTGTTACCTGCACGGGCGCTTTCCTCGTCGTGCTAGGCACATTCATGACATCCCTGTCCGAAACGTACTGGCAAGTTCTGCTCGCGCAAGGCATTTGCACGGGCCTGGGGAACGGGTGTTTGCTCACGCCCATGTCGACGCTTGTTACGAGTTATTTTAAGAGGAGGTTGCCGTTGGTGACGGGGATTGCGGCGTGTGGGAGTGTGACGGGCGGGTTGGTGTATCCGTCTATGGTGAGGACTTTGCTCCCGAGTGTGGGGTTTGGGTGGACGTTGAGGGCGATTGGGTTTATTCAGTTGGGGACGTTTGCGGTGGCGTTGGGGTGTGGGAGGATGAGGGAGGTGGTGAGGAAGAAGGGGCCGTTGTTGGATATGAGTGTGTTTAGGGAGACGGCGTTTAATTTGTTGCTTGTGGGGTCTTTTCTGGTAAGTTGTGTTTGGTCTGCCAGTTCCAGATGGTATGGACCCGTTTACTGACAGATTTGCAGGCTTTCCTGGGCGTCTTCTTCCCGTTCTTCTTCCTCAGCTCGTACGCGCGAGAGAAGCGGGGGATGTCGTATACCGAATCGCTCAACCTCACCTTGGTTCTTAACGGCATCGGGTTTGCGGGTCGACTGCTACCCAGCCTGATCGCCCGATACTGCGGCACGATGAATGTCTACATCACATTCATCTTCTGCTCTGCAGTCTGCATGTATACCTGGGTCCCGGTACACTCGACTCCCGGGCTCTACGTGTGGACAGCTTTCTACAGTCTTTCTGTGGGTGGAGTTCAGTCACTCTCCCTGGCCATCGTCCCTATCATTATCTCGGATACATCGAAGATGGGTGCTTCGTTTGGCATTGTATTTGCGGCTATTGGAGTTGGCGCATTGATAGGCTCGCCTGTCTGTGGTGCTATCATCACGTCGAGTGGAGGCTCGTATACTGGTGCGCAAGCCTTCTCGGGGAGTGTGTTGGTTGCTGGAGGACTGATCATACTGGCTGCGCGCGAAGCGAAGAGGCGGCAGAAACAGGAAGACGTTTGGGTGAAGATGTGAGAACCTCACACTGGATCTTTGAGGCTCGTTATTCATTTGGTGTTTTGGTGTATTTAGACTTGTTGCGCATTGCCAATCACATGGTATGTTTTCTCTCGAACCGTGCCGCTGTCATGGCCATCCTGCGAAGCAGATCCTGGATCGACCCCTTTGGTGTTTTGGTTGTAGTGGTGCATCGCTGCCCACAGCAAATGTTCTGATATCGTGCTGTCGAGACGAGGTCTGTGTTCGATGAAGATAGATGGGGACCCTGAGTTCCACGTGCGGTAGATCCTGTGATAGCGCGTTGTTGTTTACGCGTGGCCCACGTGTCAGACGCCCCGCTTTTACCCTTTGCCCTAGCAACATCAACTGTGCCGGCCGCCTAATTTGGTAACAACACGAGGGGCACTTCCATCGCGACAAGTGAGACACCTCGCGATAAGACTATCGGAGTGACACGACGACACCAGTCCATGCATAGTAGTCAGCGGAGACACCGTGCGCCGTTCCGACCGATCGACACCCTTTCCTCCGCCCTGAAGCCCGCTCTCAAAACCCCAGCGGCCACCGCCCACGCCTACACGTCAGACGATAGCGACTACCCTCTCGAACAGTCGACCTCTCTACTCGGCGACTCGAGCAATCTCTTTGACGACATCGAGAGCCCAGCGAGCCATCCCACACAGAAGGAAGTCCTTCGGTCCCGCCTCAAGATGGTGCGTGAGCGAGAGCCTCCCATGGCCCAACCGCCACGCGATGGAAACGCACCCCCGCCTAAGCCTCTACAAGACCTACGAAACCCGGCTCCACAGTTTGGCGAGACGAGCCCGCTGAGGAACCCGCTGAAGAAGGACCGGAGCGAGCAGTTTGCACACCTCTTCAACAAACCCAAGCCAGGCCAGATGCGGCCCGAACACAGCCAGACGACGAAGCTACCGTCTCAATACTCGGCGCCTTCTAGGCCGTCACAGAGCTCAGCCTCAAGTGGTAGCAGGGATACACTCAACCGACCTTTCAAAGTCCCCTCCGCACAGTCAGGTTCGCGCTACAGCACAGCGTCTGCCTCATCTACCGGTTCCGACATCTTTGAAATCGATGCCTCGCAGTTCCAGCCCCGCCCGTCTCAAGGCGCCTCCGTGCCCATCCCACGGCCACACAACCCAGCACCAAAGACCAGCCATCCTCCCCCGCGACCGATTTACTCGTCCATGGGCCACGCTGATGGCTTTCAACCGTTGAACAAGGGCATGCACAACCCGCTACAACAGGCGCGTCAGACAATCATATTGGACGATGAAGACAACTTCGACCCAGACGCGGCTATTCGAGCCGAGGGTGGACGGTTCGGCGAGCCCGACCCGTACGCGTATGTCGACTCTGGTGCGGCAAGCGAGAACATCAAAGCGCTGCTTGAGGGTGCTTTCGAGGAAGACGAGAAGATTCCCAGGACGCGACTTCGTAAGAAGAAGAAGCAGCAAGAGGATGACGCTGGCAATTCCCTGGCGGACCGACTACAAGCGCTCGCCGTTAAGGACGAAGAGGCCAAGGCAGAGGCTGAACCAGAAGAGGAAGAGGAAGAAGACGATGGAACGGTCGAAGGCCTCAAGGTGAAGCTTCTGCCTCATCAAGTCGACGGTGTCGCTTGGATGATCGAGAAGGAGACCGGAAACCACAACAAGAAGGCCAAGCTGCCCAAGGGCGGTATCTTGGCGGATGATATGGGTCTGGGAAAGACCGTGCAATCCCTCGCCCTCATTCTTTCCAACCCTCGCCCGGAGAAGGGCGTTGAGCCCGAGAACAAGAAGAACAAGATTTCCGACTCCACCGGTAAAGGCACTCTTGTCATCGCTCCTCTGGCTCTGATCAAGCAGTGGGAGGCTGAGATCAAGAGCAAGGTCACCAAGTCGCACGCCCTCAAAGTGCTCGTACACCATGGCCCCAACCGTACAGAGTCCGCTGAGAAGCTGAAGCAGTACGACGTTGTTATCACTACTTTCAACAGCCTGGCCACCGACTTCGCGAAGTGTGGTGATGGCCCTGATGGTCTGAAGAAGGGCTGCTTCGCCGTCTCGTGGTACCGCATCATGCTGGACGAGGCACATACCATCAAGAACCGCACAACGAAGATGGCAAAGGCTTGCTACGAGCTTCGTTCGCATTACCGATGGTGTCTTACCGGTACACCAATGCAGAACAACATCGACGAGCTACAGAGTCTGATCAAGTTCCTCCGCATCCAACCGTACTGTGAGCTCTCTTCTTGGAAGGAGTCCATCGCGCAGCCAATGAAGAACGGTCGCGGCAATCTCGCCATGAAGCGACTCCAAGTCTTCTTGCGTGCTTTCATGAAACGTCGTACGAAGGACGTCTTGCGAAAGGAGGGTGCGTTGAACTTTGGCGGTAAAGCCAAGGAGGGCGAGGAGAGGCCGGCCTTCCACATCGTTGCGCGCAACGTCGAGACTATCATAGGAGAGTTCACGACCAAGGAGCGCATCTTCTACGACCGCTTACGAGACCGCACACAAGCCCGTCTTGATGAGATGATGGGCGGCGAAAAGCAAGATTATATTGGAGCGTTGGTGTTGCTACTTCGTCTGCGCCAGGCTTGCAATCATCCCAACCTGACGAAGAGCAACGTCAAGGATGATAAGGATGCTTTGACAACCGGCTCGAAGTCAAACGCTGCAGCTGGTCTTCAAACCCCTCGAAAGGCAGCCAAGGACGACGCCGATGACCTCGCAGATCTTTTGGGCGGCCTCAGCGTTGCGACTAAGCGCTGTGACATCTGTCAAAACACACTTAACAGTGATAATACAGCTGCTGGCGGAGTACGTTGTACAGAGTGCGAAGAGGATCTTAACGGGTCTGTCAAGAAGAAGTAAGTCAATGTCAAGCGAAGACCCAATCACGCCGTATACTAACAATTAATAGGCACAAGTCGAAGAAACACCGCAAACACAAGCACAAAGATGGCAAGAGCAAGAAGCACCGGCAACCAAAGCCAGTCTTGGACTCCGATGACGAAGAAGAGGCCCCACAATCGACCACCGCAAAGCATTCTCGCAACCGTCGCGTCGTTGTCGACAGTGACGACGAAGAAGAGGAAGGCGAGTGGCTCGTCCCGGAAGATCAACAGCAGGCTGAAGACCTGGGCAAGGCTGGCGGTACCGACGATGAAAACGCAGAAGGTGGTGGCGATACTCTTGCTACCGTAGACTCAGACGCATCCGAGACTGAAGACGAGAGCAGGAGCAACCTTGACTCATTCGTCGTTCACGATACCGACAGCGAGGACGGCGCGCCTGTTTCTCGTAAAAAGCTAGCGAAGAAGCCGCAAAAGCCGTCGAAGGTCATTAGTCTTGACTCTGATGACGAGGAGGCTGACAGCGAGAGCGAGAATGGCAGCGGCAGCGATAGTGGTTCAGACGACTCCGCAACCGACTCCGAAGATGACAACTCAGATTCCGACCCCGAAGCCTCAGACTCCTCAACCTCAGAAGCCTCCTACAACGCCTCCGACCTCGTCCCCTCCACCAAAATCCGCCAACTCCTCGCCATCCTCGAAAAAGAAACCGGCGAGCACAAAGTCATCGTCTTCTCACAATTCACATCCATGCTCGACCTTATCGAACCCTTCCTCAAGCGCGCAGGCTACAACTTCACCCGCTACGATGGCAGCATGCGCAACGACCTCCGCGAAGCCAGTTTACAGAAGCTGCGCGAGGATAAGCGCACGCGTGTTCTGCTGTGTAGTTTGAAGTGCGGGAGTCTGGGGCTTAATCTCACGGCTGCGAGTCGGGTGGTTATTATGGAGCCGTTTTGGAATCCGGTATGTATCCCCACACCTGGGTGGGTGGGGGAGGCGGCGGGGAGGCGGCGGGGAGGAGGAGGGGTGGTGGTGGAAGTTCCCATCAACACCCCTTCTCATCCTCTCATCCTTTCTTCCTCTTCTTCCCCCGTTCCCCTCTACCCCCCATCCCTCATTCCACTGTTCCTCGCACCCCCCTCAAAGCCCAGCTGCTAACTTACAAATCCAACAGTTCGTAGAAGAACAAGCCATAGACCGCGTCCACCGCCTCAACCAAACCGTCGACGTAACCGTCTACCGCCTCTCCATCCACAACTCCGTCGAAGAACGCATCCTCGAGCTGCAGGAAGCCAAGCGTAAACTCGCCAACGCGGCTATCGAAGGCGGTAAAGCCATCAAGAATTTGACAATGAAGGATATGATGGCGTTGTTTAGTCGGGAGAGCGAGTATGATCGCAGGCATGATGATGATGCTAAGGATATGGAGTTGTATGGCAGGAGGAAGGTTTTGGATGGGGAGGGGGATGGGGAGAGGGGGGAGGTGGTGGTGGAGGCGGGGAGGAGGAGGAAGGCGGGGAGTTTGGGGTTTAAGGCGGTTAAGAGGACGGAGAGGAGGGATGAGGGGGGTGCTTATGGACGGCGTTGAGGGGGGCCGAGGGGAAGATGAAGGGTGGTGTTTTGCTGGCCTGTTTGGATGGTGGTGACGGAGTTTTGTTATGACATGGTGTTCACGATACGATGTGACATGAGGAGTCGTTCTTGGACTTTCTTCTCGGTGGATTAGACAACGGGCTTTGGATGAAGTGTATGTTCATGACTTGCGATCTGCAATGATTGCGATGAGATCCAGAAACCTCTCAATCTTTACTCCATCATCTTGAGTTCATCGACAGTCTTCTATTCCTGGCAGAACAGCATGCAGTTTGAGTTACTAATTGAGGCACTAAGCTTCCAGGATATTGCCATAAGATACCCGTTTGTCATTTCGTGTGCCCGAGGTTCTCCCGAATGCCTTACATCCGCCTTTCTACCTTGTTGCTCCGCAGAGTCGTATGACATCGGCAGTGGAACAATATTAGTATGAGAAGCTATGTAACTTGTATGTCCCCATTGACGAACTTCAAACCCTTGTTGTCAGATGATAACAATCTCTTCTTCCGGCATCTTGCTGAGGATGTCTGGCTTCGTTTCAAACCGCAACTGCGTAGCTGCTATCCGTTCGTATCGTGAGCAAGGGAGACAATAAAGCAGGAGCCCATGAAGAAGGTAGTCGCCACCGGTGGTCTGTTGACTGCACACAAGTGCGAAATGGGCTGTCGATGGTTCTTCAAACCCTCTATGCTCGTACCAGTCGAAAAAGATGGATGTCATCGCTGACGATAGTTTGACCATTTCTTTGGGCTTGCCAGAGTTTCCAGCTATCGATATCGTGGAGCCGTCAATCTTCCAGGGCCGCGTCCTGTTTCCAGTGTTGTAATTAAGGATCCAATCCAAGGTCGCCATGTGTGCTCGTAGTGTAATACTGCCGTCAATAACCTGGCCAAACTCATCTGCCGGATTGGCTAAAGTCATCTCGTAATTGACAACAGTAGCTTTGTGGTGGATGTCTCCACTGAGATCTGGCCAAACGGGAATTCCCCTTGTCGACGCCCAACTCCAGGAGGGCGCCACATATGTCTCTGAGTGGAAAGTATATGGCCACGAAAAGTTCCACAAGAGACCATTAGGTAGGGAATCACTCCACATACCCGCCAAATAATCGCACTTTACTCGCTTGTGAACCTTTGATGCGATTCCCGACAACGCGACCAGCCTGTCCCTTTCAAATGTGAGGCCACATACTGTGTATCTGAATACAAGATGCTGCCAATCGAGTAGAAGATCGTGTTGGTCTCTAGCTTGGCTCGCGCAGTGCAACAGCTTTAGTCTACTCTGTTTCTTGTGAGGGTCTTCTTCTTCTGGCAGTTGGCCATTAGGATGAGTTTCAGAAGCTTGAAACTCCCTACATTCCCAGATGGCTTGTTTTGGTGACATGTGGACGATACGAGGTGACAGGATCCGTTCTTGCAATACCCACGCTCTCCTATTCGGTGGTGAATATTCCACCTCGTTCCACCAAGTGTTTTTCTCGGTCAGCGCAAACTTCATTACCTCGCTACTCTCTTCCGGTCGTATATGAATCCAGTCTCGAAAACGTGAGCCGTTCCGATCAGTAAATAGACCCGAATGATTCTCCTCTGGAATATTTGCAGAGATATTGAGCCAGCTATTGGCGTAGATCTTTCCCATCAAGCCCGATTCATTCTTCCAGTCTTGGTCGTCGTCTTGGATGATGCACATACAATCTATCCAAATAAGGCGTACACCCAGGCGCCACGTCAAACTTGCCATGTCTCGAAAGATTGGTTTCAAACTCGATACCTCGATGCCATGGTGAAATGACTTGAGCGAATCAGTCGTCAATTGTAACTTCTGAGTTCCAGTGGGACCCCAGCAATGACTAAGAGTAAGATAACGACTGTATTGCAGTTGTGAACGATCTCGCAGATGAACTCTCAGATTGCCAGACATGTCGCTGATCTCCAGCAAGCGCGTTGGCAACCACAATTCTTCACGTCCCTCGTTGCAGACATTATGGTGCTTTGTACACCTCTTGACCCACTCAGCAATCTGCGATATAGTTTCAGCTGAGCCTGTGTTGTCAGAAAGGGCTGTTGACGGAACCCTCGTTTCTCGATACGACGAGTCGTGAGAACTTATCGATATGACATCAAAAGTCCTCACATGGGGTGAGGGGTCACATGCAGCGGCCATCGAGTTGTCGGAAGGGTCGCGATGATCGAGATAAATATAAAAGTCCATGGAATTCTTTCCATTTTGGTGTGCAAGCGGCCCCCAAAATAGGTTCCAGGTAGTAAGCGCAGAAGTTGAATGAGGATCGAACAGGTATTTCCGTCTATCAATTTCTTCTACGATGTGGGAGCAGATGAAACAACCACTGGTCGCAGAACGAGAAAGACTTGCATGCGAAGAGTGATGATCAAAGGTGCGTCCCTCAGTCAGGTTTAGCATCCTTTTGAAGGTATCTTCGCAGACGCTGCATAGCATGCTGAAGATAGATGGGATATACACGCTCTTTGAAGTCTTGCGAGGAGTCGTGACGAGGAGGTCGATCGTATTGTGAAGGGAGCGATGGATTCCGTGCGCAATGTCTGATCGTAACAACGTATTTTATCGTGTCTGGCACCACCTCAAAAGAACGCATTGGCGCGAGATCCAACGCCAAAACAAAGAACGATGTCGAACTGATTCATAGACCGATGATTGCAGTCGAAGAGATCATCGCGCAATGATCGTGACCGGTGAACAGTGCGGGGAAGAAGTGAGGCTAACCCGATTGCGGACGCGACGGCAGTCACGACTGGATGGAGATCATGCTTGGCCTGCCACACCATGCATAGTAATCTTGTGTATCTCGAAACATCCATCGCATTCGCCCGTGAAACATATGATGCCTGGTGGCTCTCTCAACATGCAGCTGCCTACGTGGTTGCGCAGGACTCGGTTGCGCAGGATGGGGAGGCTGATGACAGCTCCTGGCCTCCATATCTAGCTTTGGCTGTCAGCAACTCGCTCGAACCTGGCATCTCCAGAGTACACAATGTCGTCCTTCACCCTGACGCCGATCGTTCAACAGGCGGTCGAGCATCGCCTCGAAGAGCTCAAACGCACCAAGAAGTCTTTCGAGCGACGATACCTCTCTGAAGCGGCGGAGTCTGACCAGCTAAGTGTCATCGCACGTCTCGGTAGACTGCTGGACGAAGTGAAGATTCTGGAGCCAAAGCTCGACGAAGAGGACGGCGAATGGTTGACAGAGACCATCCAGCGATGCATCGAACAAGCCCAAGATGACAATGCGATCTCCGAAAAAAAGCTATTGAGGCTTGAGAAGAGCTTGCGCGATAGGTTGGGCAGATTTCGCAACCGCATGGAGGTGTCGTGTCTACACGCACAGCTCATCAAGGAGGCTACAAACGCGGCTAAGATCGAAACGGCGGCTACTAAGCTTGAGGCTGTAGCACTGGACGACGATGACTTCGAAGTAGTCGATAACGAAAGCGAAGAAGTTCTCGAGAAGTTTGAGAAAGCCTGTTCCCAGCCTACCAACGTGAACAGCCAGTCGATCGAGACCTATCTTTCGAGCTTGTTCACCTCCGAAGACGAACACCTACAATCGATCCGAGACGCAATGAAAGCATACGGAGAGGATTTGAGTAGCGGAGAAATCGAGATAGATGAGGATTGCTTGGCGTGGATAATGACGGACTTGACGAAGTCGGAACGACTCAGCCCCGAGCGGAAAGGTACCCTCGCAGGGTATCTGCAGTCGCCCGATGCATTACGAGAGCTTGTCGCGACCTTGAACATGATAAGCTATCGCGACTGGAACTATAGAAACGCGGAGGCAGGCTTGCCAGTCGATGTACGCAAAACGAGGAGCGGCCAGGATTACGTTCACGTCGAGGTAGACATTATCGACATGTTGTTTCAGCATTGCTGTGCGATCGGGTGGGCCGTGAAGCTGAACGTGTGTCTGAAAGACTTCGTCCACGATTCGGGTCTGTTTCGCTGTGCTCCGTTGACAGAAGCGGAGCTCGACAAACGTGCTTTCTTTTTCGATACACCTCGTCCTGCACCAGCCATGGGTACTGCATGTGGGGGTTATCTGTCGCCACCACCGCCACCCTTACCTTGCATGTTCCAATCAATACCTCCTCCTCCCCCTGATCTACCTCTGTACAACAGCAGAAAGGGTAGTCGAAAGAAGAAGAGGAATAAGGATATGTATCCGAGAATGCCCATGGCACCTCCACAGCCACCGTCAGTTGCGCCTATGGGCGTAGAAAGTCTTCGAAAAGACAACTACGAACAGCACTTCTTCATGTCGCGTCTCCCCCAGCACGACGGCGAAGTACCCAAGATCGTATCCTCTGAAGACGTCCAGGCAAGATTGATCAAGACCTTGGCTGTGGAATGCAAGCTTCGAAACGCTTTTGATGGCAAGGTGTGTGCTACAACTCTGGAGTTCGACTCAGTGGCCTCCACAGTTCCCCATCAAACCATCAGCACCGCATTGAGGTTTCTTGGCGTCCGGAAGTTTTCCTCGAAATTTTCACTCGTGCTCTGGAACCTAAGATGAGCATCCGAAGTTCGGCTAGTGATCCGGAGAGACTCCTGACGCCTGGTAGTGGAGTAGCGGTTGATCATGGCCTAGAGATGTTGTTCAGCGAAGCTGTGCTGTTATTCCTCGATCTTGCCACGCACAAAGCGACGAAGTCGTACATATACCGTCTGTATGACCGCTGCTACTTTGTCGGTACTGCGATCCAGGTCAAGAGTGTCGAGCAAGAAGCTGCCCGCTTCTCTGATATCATGGGACTGAAGCTGCGCAATGCCTCGTCCATTGGCGGACTCTCCATCGGACTTTTGACCATGGGCTTGCAGGGGTCATTGTGTCTCGATAAGAGCCGGGAATTAGGCGTGGATGAGACCAAAGTCGCACTATACGCAACCCACGTGGAAGCTAGGCTCAAAATATGCTCAACCGTACTGGAGTGGATTCGCGAATGGAACGACACTGTCGGTACCTACGCAGCACAGCTCTTCGGGCCTCTCGCCAATGTGTTCGACGCAGCACATCGCGATGCCGTCAAGTCAGCTTATAGACGTATCCACTCTATCGTACTTGGTGGTAGCGACTTGACCACGTACGTTGCGAAGATGCTCAAGCCCCATCTGACATGTGGTCTAGAGCGTATGTCTTTTGATCTTGAGCCCATCATCTACCTCCCGCAATCTTATGGTGGCCTCGGTGTAAAGACTCCGTTTGTCACTTTAGCATCCGCCGCCAAGATTAGTGAATCTGGTTCCGGAAGGATCGAAGGATATCTCAGCGAAGAGGCTGCCTACTATAAGCAAGCCGCAGACAAATACACTCGGACGTCAGGCTGCCAACGTCAGCAAAGGCTCGAAACGATCTTCAACAACGACCTATCAAGGATGATCTCAGCGCTTGGTCCTGAAGTAACATCCAGCCTTTGTCTCGCAGCCCTTCCGTTCATGACAAAAGCTGAGATGACGGAATATCGTGAACGTACTTTGTATCCGTTGATTTCTGGCGACTTCTGGAGTCCCGTTTTGTTAAAGATGCCCAATCTTCTCTGCCTCTATCATGATCTACTTGGCGAGGACACTGGTCGCATTGAAGAAAGCCAAAGGACCAAGCGAGAGGTACAACGTCTTTCCCGAACGAGGGATCTGAAAGACTGGTACAGGGTGAGCCAGCTGGAAAAATGGACGTTGCAGCTCTATAGCGAAGAGTGCTTTGAAAGGTACGGCGGCCTTGAAATCTGGTGGGCTGAGGGCATGCCCGTGGAAGTCTACAACAGCCTCAGAGGTCACATGTCGGATGACGACGACGACGACGACGATTGTAGTTCAATTGTCTCAATAGTTTAGCCCAGACGCCCAGGCGAGAGGGAATCAGGTGGAGTGATGCCTAGTTCAGTTGCCCGGATGCGACGCGCGCTTCTCTTCTGTCGATACCGTCTACTTACAACCGTCGCTTCCGAAGGTATGTCATGAGTCTGTCGCGTTCCTTTGGGGTCTCCTAAAATGCTCACGGTAGCTACGAATCAATGAATCATTCACGACGCGTCTCCATTAGTGCAGCGCGAAGATCGCGACCCCAGGCGTCGTGACCTTGCAGGAGCGGCAATGCCACCCCACAGATGACAAGAGGTGACGTTCTGTGACGGGCAAACGATGCGCGCGACTTTGAATAGAGGTTCCAGTAGCGATGGTGAGGGCGGGAGCGATGGCCTGATGCTGTCAGAAGTGTGGATGATGGCGATGCTGTGCGCAAGATCGTGCAGCCTTCGGGATCTCGGAAGCAATCGTTTCCGATCGAACCACGTGACACACGGCGAAATTCTACTCCAGGCTCTTCTTTCATGCCAGACCTATGAAACGAAACACATTTTCCGAAATAGTAATAATGAGCAGGATAAGTCATATAGAACGCCGCCTCATATTGGTGGATTCATGCGGTGCTGGCGCATGGGACACGTAGTTCTCCCCGCACGTTCCGTGCATTCACTTTGCGCCACCGGTTAAGAAGGCCAAGCCTTGCTAAGCTTCGTAAAGGATCATCAAGCCTTGTCTATCTACAACACAAGCGCTACGCCACCATGCCCTAGGACGTCTAGACAGCGCGACTAGCAACACCTGTCATTTCTTCACATCTACCTAGGCGTCTTCCACCCATGCGCCCTGAGTACCTGCAACCGCGACGCCTCGACGGGAAAACCTCGTGTCCCAATGGAGGCCGAATATAAGACATCATTTGGCAGGCCGTGTCATCTCGGGCCTACTCTAGATTGCTCTCTTGCAATGCGTTTTACGAACGCGAGCATGTTGCGAATGCGAGATCCATGGACGACTGCGAGAGGTAATATATACATGTCCTGTCCATTGCCCGTAAGACTCCACTATCAATCCTTGGCTTCCATTCTTTAAGCACTGGTCTGTTGTTCAATTTTGCTTGATTGACTTCAATTCACACCGAACTCTTCGCCCCTGTATTCCATTCTCGCCAGGACGAAACCGACAAGATGCTGTCCAAGCTGGCCTTTTTTCTCGCTTCTTCCAATGTTGCTTTCTCTGCACCAAGTCTCGACCCCCGTCAGGCAGTAACCATTGCCGTGGACTCCAGTAAGACTTTCCAAACGATCGACGGCTTCGGTATCTCCGAGTTCTACGGTCGCGCTGGAAACATCAAGTCTCTGGCAGCTGCTGCTCAGAAGCAGACCCTTGACCTTCTCTTCGATCCTACTACCGGCGCTGGCTTTAACATCCTGCGCAACGGTATCGGCTCTGGCCCATCCAGCGGCTTCTCTATTGAGCCCAACAGCCCCGGATCGCCCACTGGAACACCAAAGTACCAGTGGGATGGCTCCGACAACAACCAGGTATGGTTGACAAAGCAAGCGCAGGCCCGTGGCCTCAAGACTATCTATGCCGATGCTTGGTCTGCTCCTGGGTTCATGAAGACGAACGGTAAAGACTCAAACGTAAGTACAACTCCCCAAACGGGGATTGGAAGCGATGGCTAACGTGCTCTAGGGAGGTAGCCTTTGCGGTGTCGATGGCACATCCTGCGGCAACTGGACCCAAGCTTACGCCAACTACCTCACACAATATGTCAAATACTACAAGCAGGAGGGTATTGACGTGACTCATCTCGGCTTCTTGAACGAGCCTGACTACACGTAAGTTCTTCACATGTCTTCGCTCAAAAGTAGCTACTAATTGATTAAAGCACCGCCTACTCTTCCATGCGATCAACTGGTCAACAGGCCGCCGACTTCATCAAAGTTCTCGCCCCAACCGTGAAGGCTTCTGGTCTGAAGGTAAAACTCACCTGCTGCGATGCCACCGGCTACAACGCGCAGAAGGCCATGCTTCCAGGACTCGCTGCGGTCGACTCCCTGTACGACGTCGTTACCACCCACGGTTACAGCTCCGACCCCACAGCCCCCTTCGCTACTTCCAAGCATATGTGGATGACAGAGACTGCGGATCTCAGTGGCAAGTGGACAGCAAGCTACTACACCAATGGCGGAGCCGGCGAAGGTCAGACCTGGGCCTCCAAGATCTACACTGCTCTCGTCGACGCAAACTTCTCGGCATACCTCTACTGGGAAGGCGCTGAAGACGCTGGAACCAACCCTACCAACTCCGTTCTCATTGACATCCACGGTGGAGTCGTTGCGCCTTCCAAGCGCTTCTGGGCTATGGCACAGTGGAGCCGCTTCGTCAAGCCTGGTGCCGTTCGCGTCAGCGCTGGTGGCAGGACCAGCACGCTCAAGACATCGGCATTCAAGAACACTGATGGCTCAGTCGCTGTGCAGGTCTTGAACACTGGCGCCTCAGCAGCGACCGTCAGCATCACTGGTGTCTCGGGCAAAGCGTCTGCGTTCATTACTAACGAGAGCCACGGGCTTGATGCGATGACTGGAACCAGCGTGCCGGCACATTCCATGGTTACTTTCCTTTACAAGTAGATGTGCTCTCCGCGAGAGCGCATACTGACCAAGTTCCGCCAGTACAGAGGTGGATTTGCTTTTGTAATACGTTCTTCTTCTCTTTCAAATTGTAGATATTCTAGCTCCTCTTAAGCTTTTACCAATGCCTTTGCACTATGCTTGCGGCTAGCCCAGTAATCTCCCTCGTCCTTCATATCAGTGGCTTACGACAACCGACCTTGTCACCCGAATGCCACCACCTGTTTCCTGGCCGACTAGCTCTTCTTCACTTCCTCCGACATCGCCAGGCCCTACAATGTCGATGCTCATAGTCTTCAATGGTAGCCCGTACTCGTCATCTGTGTTGCCCTTCGTTCCCGTTCGTCGGTTCTCCGTAGTCTTGGTATACCCGCGACTGTTGTATGCGTGTACCTGTGTGGTACTGTAGACGGCTTTGGCTTTTCGGTATAGGCCTGGCCCGCAGCCTACTATTATAGCGACGGAAGACTCGATGATGCTCCACAGAGCCAGCCACGTCAGCGAAGGCGTTGTGTTGCCTGCGCTGGTTGTTGCGCCGACTTGTATTACGCGGATGATGCTAGCGATGATGACGAGGATGCCTAAAGCGAACAGGCCTCCTATCTGGATCTTGCGGGCTAGAGGTATCTGGAGGTTTCGTATGAGGCCGATTGGAAGTAACATGACTGTTGAGTGCATCAATAAATCGATCTGCATCAGAAGACCCTGAGACGACTTACTCATAAGATCTGTTGTTAGGTCCACTGCAAATCCTTCCCAGAAGCTGATCGCACTCTTGCGGACATTGTCAGCGCCACAACCATTGGCGATGAACCAAGACGCTGGCGAATGTCCACAAGCTGTGATGTGTAGGAGAATGGATAGTAGAAGCGTCTGGGCAGAGTGTTAGTATAGTTTGTTGATGTGTAGGGGCTATGAACTTAGGCTACTTACAAGCACGCAGTAGCCAAGCACCACCCACCAAAGCGTGAGGTAGAGCCTCACGCCAGCCATGATTCTCTTGTAGAAGGCCAGTAGGGAGAATTTGATACTCCATAGAGTAAGCCAGAGTCCTGGACTCGTGAAAAAGAACGTTTTCTGCGCATCGAGGCCATCTCGGAGAACGTTTGGGTAAGGCGCAAGGCGTCCTTCTTGGACGGCTAGAAGTCGAAATAAAAGGCTTGTCTTGTTGATGTAGACACTGGTTACTGCCATGAATAGCAAGTAGCCTAGCATCAGCCATAGCTCGTCCCATTGAATGACCTTCTTCTGATCACTTCGCAGGATCGCGCGAGCGAGGACCACGGCAGTCGTCACAACCATGAGACCTATCGCAGTACCGCGAAGAGTACCCTCAGTGAGCCCTTCCGAAGACATGTTGGATGATTTAAAAGAATTTGGTCAGTAAACAACGCGCTGCGGACAAAAACGCAGGAGTGACAGCACCTTCGGCAGCATGAAGAAATATGCTTGGATGACATTCTCCCCGGTTACTTACTGGGAGATGATGTCTACCCCCACACTCCCACCCAATAGTCCCTGTTTTCGATGTTTTGAATATGAGCTGAAGGATCATATGGGTGATGCGCCTGTGCGGCAAAGCGGTTTACCTTGATCTTTTACAAACCTCAGGTAGCCTTTCTTGGGACTTCAGCAACGCACATAGCGTATGTCCTAACGCGTTCATTTGCATCGTGGCAACATCCGAAAAGAAATGTCGATACGCTGCTTCCATGGTGTGAGGAACGTTGTGTGTACAGCCAGCTCAGTCCTGTATGCGTCGCTCCTCGGTGCAGAATGTGGCGACAAGACTGTTGGCACATATTCCATCAACCTGGGTCAGACGTGCCGTCCCTGTGATTCAAGGTCTGGAAGGTGTCCGAATGAGGTATCATGCATAAACGACTGTTCGGCAAGGGAGGCCATGCGGAGCGAGTACCCTGATCAGGTCTTTCCGATGCGATGATACGCGGACATAAGGGGAAGGATGCGTGTCGCGCAGGTGGATTCGTCCGTATTGGCCGTGTAGCTATTACTGTGCTTGACTCATGCGTATCGATGCCAGTTCGCGAGATGCACACGTGCTGTCGTGGGGTGTTGCTGATGAAAAGTCGGGAGGCAGGCGGGAACTGAAGGAGCGCTAAGCGTGCATGAGCCAATGGCGGGAGAAGCCAGGACTGCCGCTACTGGCCGCCGCCCCGCCGAAGGATCGATGTAATATCAACCGACTGCAACACTGAGGCGTAGCCACGCCTGTCCGCGGCATGTGTTCTTGGTCATGCACATCAATTCCCGATGAACGACAGAACAAACATGTTCCATATACCCATTTTTGGTACCCAGGTATGCTACCTACGTAAACCTCCGAAAGGTCTCATGGGCTCTGTTTCCCGCGCATCACAATGTACCTAGGTACTCTATCGATATGCAGATGACAAGCAACGAGAGAGCGGCGGGACAAAGGGTCCTCCGCGCGGCCCGGAGACAAGTTTTGAGCCGCTAGCCATACGGCACGTATGCACGTGCGGAGGGCGAGGCTGCGGTCGAGCCGGAACCCTTTCGTGGCAAGCAGCAAACGACACGCTCGCTTATGTGAATGACTCTGCTTAAGCTTCTTCCAGATAGGTCTCTAATGCTTAGGAAAGAGAGCGCCAGACCGCTATCTGTGTATAAAGTCGAACGCTGCACGCGTTCAGCGACGATTCTCCACCACATAGTGCCGCATCAACGTCCGTAGCCATGCGGTCCATTTTATTTGCGGTCTTTGCCTCCTTCGTGGCCTCTCAAACCTTTGAGGCGTCTGACTTCAATGTCACTGAGGCTCTTGTCGACCAAGGTGTCAACGTCTCAGCATTGCCAGAGCTAGCCGGTTTGGTCGAGCGGTCTTCCAATCTAGCTTGCAACATTGCCGTGGGTAGGCTGTGAGATTAAGGCAGAACCAAAGCTAAATTTTGCACAGTGCTCTTCGCTCGAAGCCCTTTACGGAAACAAGTCTGTTGAATTCCAGAATGAGGCCGGCTACTCCGCATTCACATCCGGATTCTGGTCTGGGATCTCGGCTGAAGTCAGACCCTACTGTATCTTCAAACCATCGAGTGCTGCCGCTGTCTCAGTAATGGTATTGCTATCGCGGCTGTCGCAATGCCAATTTGCTGTCAAATCCGGTGGACATAGCGCATTTGCTGGCGCAGCTACTATCGAGGGAGGCATTACCGTGTCATTTGAGAACATGAAGGGCATCAAGCTTTCGAGCGACAAGAAGACGGTCGCGGTGCAGCCAGGAAACAACTGGGGTGATGTTCTTACCACTCTGTCGACCACTGGCGTCACAGCCGTGGCTGGCCGTATTGGCGATCTCGGTGTTGGTGGACTCACACTCGGTGGAGGTATCTCGTTCATCACGAACGAGTACGGCCTGGCTTGCGACAACGTTGCCAGTTTCGAGGTAAGTTAACAACACGGATCTATAATATTGATCTCTTTTGACTCCAAGCAGGTTGTCACAGCAAGTGGCATCATAGTCACAGCAAGCCCAAAGACCTTCCCAGACCTCTACTGGGCGCTCCGCGGCGGAGGAAACAACTTTGGCATCGTGACAAGCTTCAATCTGATGACCAAACCCCTCAATAACGACCAGATATGGGGCGGAACCCGCACCTTTACGGAAGACGTCTTCCCCGACGTAGTCAAAGCGTGGATCGATCTTACACTCGACTCAGCCCAAGACCCGAAAGCCGGTAGTTGGATTGCTTGGATGAACACCGGCGCGAAGCTTGCCGCAACCGAGCTCTGGTACGGTGCACCAGCTGGCAATGAGTCCGCTATCTTGGCGCCTTTCTACAACATCACTGCCGTATCCGATAGCACGAAGACTCGGGGTCATGCTTCATATGTGGTGGACAACGAAGCCACTAATGAGTATGGCCTTCGCGAGATCTTCTACGATATCACAGTCAAGGCCTCGTACGAGATTGCTCAACGTTCCGTTGACATCTTCTTCGACTCGATCGACGCTCTCTCTGCGGTTGACGGCGCATTTCCTGTCCTCATCTGGCAGCACATCACCGACGGTTCCCTCAAAGGAAGCACCCGAAACGGCGGCAGCGCGATGGGTTTCGATGCCAACGGTAGCCCTATCCACATCATCCAGCTAGCGTGCAGCTGGAACCATGCCGCGGATGACGACACCGTGTACCAGGTCATGTCCGACATCATGAAGGCAATCAAGAGCGACGCGGTAAAGCTGGGTGTGCAGAACGACTGGGTGTACATGAACTATGCATCGATGTTCCAGGACGTTATCGCGAGTTATGGGTCGGACAGCAAGAGTAAGATGAAGACTGTTGCGAGCAAGTACGATCCGAAGGAGGTGTTTCAAAAGCTGCAGCCTGGGTACTTCAAGTTGGATCGTGCGCCGGTGCCTGATGCAAGGTACTTTTCGTACTGAGGTCACATTGGAGAGTGTGGAGCATGAAAATGCGGATATGACCTTCTACTACTAGTAATGGATAAGACTACTTTACATCATAATGATCTCGTAAATGACTGCCGTGTGAAATGCACACCACTGAGTTGATGGCCTGTTGATGAGCGGTACCAGATGGCGTTCAGCTAGCGCGGGGACGATAGTCCGCGTACCGAGACTGTACAGCTTTGAAGTCCACCTCTCCGTCCTCAATATCGCCTTCCAGAATACAGTTCCAATACTGTTCCCAGTCCTTCGCCGGTCTATCTCGTAACAAGGTAGAGACATACTGGCATTCTTCATCGAACTCTTTCATGGTACCCATAATGCATGGGAACTGCACGAGAGAATTGCCGGAGAGAATATGTCGCATTGACGCGGGGAGTAATTCAGGGTTGCTATAAGCACCTAAATTTGGGGGTGCGAAAGCCATTGCGAGATCATCTCTTGTCGGAAAGGGAGAGCGTTCGTCGCGTGTACAAGCCATAGCTGCAGCGTATAGGGCTGCGATAGATTTGACTTTGTTCCAGATGATTTGAACGGTGTCGAATGGTCCTATGAAGTGTGTCTTGACAAGCGGTCGGGTATCTCGACCCCAAGATAGGCTAACCGCTTCATTGATCCAAGTGATTGTGCGAGGCACAGCGTTGGACACTCTACACTCGGTCCACCGATGCTCGCTATACGGGGATGTACTCATATCTGCGAGGTCCCCGTAATCATGTGAGAACCTGATAAGGGTTTAGCTTTTGTCAGGCATGCAGATAATGCTGTCTGAACTTACACGCATCGCCAAAGGTCGACATATCTATGCACCGATAGCTGGGGAACCGCATCGCAGGTAGGTAATATCCCTCGTAGGTGGCATTCCGGAAGGGCTACAGACTTCTCTTCTTCCACTATCTTGACATTTCGCATCTGCTCAAGATAACGAGGCTGTAATGCGTCCAGAAATCGGATGGCCTGGGACGTGGCTGATTGGAAGTATCTTAGATCAGGTAGAGCAACTTCAAAGTTGTACCATGTATCTGGGCGTGGGTCTTCAAAAAGGTCCCTTACTTTGATCATTTGGTCTTCAGTAGGTAAGACCCAGGGCTGCCATAGCGTAGTAGCAATTATTGACCGCATGTGGCCGAGTTTTGGAAGACTCAGCTGCTCTACGGAATGCCTCTCACGCTCATCGTGAGAACTACTTCTGAACCAGTTCCTCATGAGCCGATCCAAGATGTTGAAATTGCGGTTTCTTCGAGGTATGTTGGTGCGAAATCTACTAAGCTCAAGCACAGGGCTAAAGCCGAGGATATCCATGCAGCAGCTTCGTGATTTGAGCCGTTCCGGAAAGTCTGCCTGCGAAGTCAGACGTGGAAGACAAGCCTGAAGGACTTCTCGATCATGGTATGTCATCGATGATGGGTTTCCCATAATGTCCTTTAGAGGCACATAATCCTCGTCTTCGTACTTGGAGATCCGGGTGAGAAGATCGCTGATACAGCTGTCGGGATACTGCTCGGACACGTCTTTCGCGAGCTGCTCCAGAGCTATAACATGACGGTTAGCACGACGTGGCTTTGGTGGAAGACATTTGACAGCAAAGATTGACTGACCTGATGTTGATGCCCCCAATACAAAAGCTTCTTCCTGCAAAAAGTGCAGACGTTCCAACAAGAAGTCGTACTTACCAGCCTGAGACCACGCGCTCCAGATATCAGACCCCTCCTGTGAAGTCTTGATCTCTTGAAAAGGCTTAAAGACCACTTCATTCACCCTGAGCGGCAGATCTCGCATCTCGCTAGCGATCATCTTGCAGGTCCACATCAAGCTAAAATCGATGGTGCGGCTGTCAGAACACCGAAGCTTGTTGGTGGTTGGGGAGTGGACGTAGCCTCCAGGCTCTTGTAGGTAATAGGTGTAGATCTCATCGCGGAGTTCCCGAAGAAGGCTTAGAAGGCGCGACTGTTGCTGCTGGGAAGGCGTTTGTGTTTCCATGATGTGGTGTCGATTGTGGAGTTGGTGTTGCAAAATCGATGATGCAGCATTCGCGATGGTAAATTCATGGGAGGCGGCTCATTTATGATGGATAGTACAGGACACATGTGCAGAAGGACAACTGGCTTGCAGCATCCACCAGGCAGCAGCACCGATTCCTGATGCCTGGCGAGCTTGTTATTTGGTTTTGTCGGTACTGCGACTGATACGGGAGTTTCGCGGTTCTCGCAGTCCAAATTTGTGTGCGGAATTTGGTAGCGAAGCTTATGAACCGGCTTCCAGCAAAGCTGAACTCACGCTAGGGTGTGGAAACTCTCTCGTTGTTATTGTGAACACGTTGATTCAATTTGTATTATCGCCGGGCCTATCGATATCGTTGTGAGAGAACAGCCAAGTCATGGCTTCAAGACAGGATTTGGCTCGCTCTTGCCCAGTACGCCACGCTCAGATAGTTATGACCGTGGCTCCAATGCCTGTTCTACTCCTCCCAGACTGGATCATAATACAACTCTTTCAAAGCTGTGAGATCATACTCCGAAGAGCCAAGATCGCCCTGGTAGAGGCTACTGGGATAACGTGTCCAATCGTCCATCGGTTTATCCTTTAACTCATTGCCTATACGGCGAGCCCCCTCTTCAAACTCTTCCAGAGTGCCTAAAGGGCACGACAGCCGCACTGTGGGGTCCCCAGATAAGATGAGCCGTACGGAAGAGACAAGGCGCCGCTCTTGGCGGCCGCCGAAGTCGAGCTCGTAGTTTTGAGGAGTTGATTCAGTAGAGCTCGTGGAAGGGAACGCGGTCGTTGTGAGTCGTTTCAAGTTGGCAAGGCCCAGTGCTGCAAGCGATTTGACAGCCGTCCAAATACGCTTAGCGGTTTTCACATCTGCTTCGAGATGAAGGGAATACGCAGATAACGGCATCCCGGCATGTCGCAAGTCCATAGCCTCGTTGATCCAATGGATGGTTTTGTGTATAGCGAGTGATAGACTGCAAGTCGGCCTTCCTGTGAGCGCAGGGACTTGAGGGGAATTGGCCCAGGCGAGCATCATGCTATAGTGCAGAAAGCTAGCGTGATGCGTCAGCATGAAACGACATTCAGTCATGAGGCAGAGCTTACATAGCGCTCCACATGTCAACACGGTGAGCAACGTGTAACCGAGGTAGATCTTTGAGGTAGGGGATTAGACCATGCGCGTGGCTATGCGGGAAGGCAGAAGATGCGCGATCTTCGCGTATGTCCAGATGACGCAGCTGAGATAGCTGTTTTTTCTGCATCATACCGAGAAAGCGGATGCATTGCGAGATCCCTGATTCATAGTATCGAAGATCAGACCGATCCTCGACACTCCCCCAGCCGTAGTCGGTATCCCTCAAGAATGTCACGAGCTCTCTCATCTCGTTGATCTGCGCGGTTGTAGGTGTACTCCAAGGCATCAACATCGTGGACGATATTGTCGAAGATAGGATCTCAATCGGATTCCTGCGTGCACGGCGTCGGTCGGATGTCCCGTCGCTTAGCATACGATAGATCCAATTCCAAAAATGGCGCGGCCAACTCCAAAACCTCCATGATCTGAGCCACTTCGGAATAGGAAAACCAGAGTCTATGTACTGAAGTGTCTCGTGTATAGCTTGGCGGTCCATATGAGTCAGTTCAGGGAGATTCACAACTGCGATGTTTCGCGAAAATTCGCGCCAAGCCCTCTTCAGTTGTAGAATTAATTGGAGGTGAGCACCAAGGCCGCTCTGCGGATATCGTTCGGAAATGTGCTTTGTGAGTTCCTCGGTCCCTGAGAAATGTAGTCAGTTGACGCCTAATTTGAATAATGTGTTTGCGTATTTGTAAAAGGATCGGCCTACCATATGCAGCAAACAATGTGCCAACGGCGTTGAGCTTCGCCTCGTCCAGACTGGATTCCAAGCAGTCGAAATAGAACATCGTAGACCGCAACAACGAGCCTAGTTCGCCTTGTACCCCTGCAATAAATGCTATGCGTGTTTTGAATGTGATCGCGTTTTTACCCAGAGTGAGTTCTGTTGCCTCCGCTGCGACTTGCTTGCAAGTTTGTAAGAGTGCGAGATCAATCGGCGTGCTATCAGGAGAGCGTAGTGTATTTGTCTCGGCATGGTGATGGTAACCGTCGTCAATTACAAAGTAGTGAGTATAGATCTCGTCGCGAAGCTCCCGAGGGATGCGTAGAAGATGGCAGGTCGAAGGCTGCGAAGCTGCCATAGTGTGGCGCTAGTAGTCGTGCGGATGCCGATATCTAAATCAAGGAGGTAAGGTCAGTAGATATAAAGCAGTTCTTCAAGCGCGTTCTCCTTTTGGGTAGCAAACTCTCTGCCAGCTGTCCTTAGGCAGCAGCATTACCAAAGTGTGGTACTGTAAGTTGCAACGTATGTCGCTCACGGACGCTGCATCCACAGAAAAGCCGAAAGAAAGAATTCGATAATCGGATGCCTGAATCGCTGCGCATTTCGGACGCGTGTTGTGTATTTCTTCGGTACCAAACGCAGCTACGTTCGGTATGATGCAGGTCCGACCAATCATCGTGGTACAAAGCCGATACATGTAGTATACATCCACCAAACCACGACCCACGCTCACTTGCCACCCACTCTCTTGTTCTTGAGCTTGATCGTCTCTCCGTTGACAAAGATACCCTTGCCCTTGTACGGTTCCGGTACCCTCCAACTCCTTATCTTGGCTGCGAACTGCATGACCACCTCCTTCTCCGGCCCCTCTAACAGCAAACGTGTCGGTTGCGGTGTGCTCGCGGTAACGCCCTTTGGTATGGCCAGTTCGACTGGATGTGTGTATCCGACCTTCAAGTTGACGAACTTCTGGCCGGGAAATTCGGACTTTACGGTTGTCGCGGAGTCTTCGACTGAGGCACGGTATCCGACACCGTTGAAGCGGAGAATGGCACTGTGTCCTTCGCTGACGCCGAGGATGTGGTTCTGGAGGTATGCGCGGGTGGTGCCTGGAACTGTGTCAGCGAATTGCGCAGCCCATGGTGACTGCAGCGCTCTTACCCCACATTGCCTTTTGTTTCGCATCTTTCGCGTCTTCGATTGTCAACGTCGGGCCGCCCAATGCCGGGTCCTGGTTGATATTGACGTATGGCGGGATAGCCATTGAAAGCTCGCCCAGTGGTCCCTTAATGTGTACGGTAGACATGGCCTGCACTCTCGCACTTCTCGCCTTAGCGGAAGGCGCGACCACCTGAAACGTGACTCCCTGGGGTATTGAGAGCGGTAAAGACCCGATCTTGGATTGACATGATGCCGTCGAGGTAAAGGTCCTGGTCGGCGCGGGCCTGGAAAATACGGGCAACAGGAAAGTCGGTATTGAGTCGCTGCTCTGGCTCGAGGCCTTTGCGAAGCTTTGGGCGCACCGCCGTCGTGCTGGGGCGAACATGTTGATTTGATGCCGGCAACGATCATCGCGAGAGTTTTCGGAATCTCCAACTCGCTGCTAGCTCATCCGGTCTCGTGATAGCGCGTCATCGACGTCTCTGATTGGATGGGCTGTCGCACCTTCCCCCACGAACACCTGGGCACCCCTCAACACCACAACACTCCAGCCGTCATCACTCCCTGAGGAACATGCTGCACAATGCAGCGTCAAATTCTGACGCTTGATACCTTCAACTGACCGTCCTCTCACCCAGGCATGTGCCTCTTGATCGTCGACTAACAGCGCGTGCTCTTACCACAGATCTGGCCTCACCTTCCTGTCGCGGCAGGCGTCAAGCTTCAGGCCCTTCAACGTTGCGTCTTCTCCGCTCTCTTACCATATTGTGAACCCACATGGTCGCTACCAACAGAGATCTTACCATCCTTGACCTCTCGCCTTCTTATGCTTTTCTACTTTCTTCTACTCCCTGGCTCCTGCTCTATCTCGCCAGCTTTCCGTGCCGTGCTTTCGATAACCCTGACTGCTCCTCAGTGCATCGCTGACATGGAACTTCAACATGGACTTAGCATGGGGAAGCTGATCACGTTGGGGCTGTTTCTCCTACCTACAGTATCCTCTCATTACCACTCCCCGCCGGCACATGCAGCTCCAACAGTCAACGTGGATTCCTTATTCCAGTACACAACATCCAGGAACCACAAAGTGATAACACAAGCGGTTGATTTCGTGGTGTCGATGCAGACCGCGCCGACATGCACTCGCATGGCTGCTTCTCACCTGATGAACGAGTGCAAACTATTGGAACACGCACCGGACTTCGCCAAATCTCGCCCGGAAGCGTACCTTGACAACGTCAAAACCGAGTACGCCGCTAAACTAGCTGTATGCGAACTCCTCAGTGCTCAGCCAGTGAACCCAACACCACCGGTAAACTGCGACATCCTCGTTCCGGCATCCAGGCATTGCGGCAAAGGCGGTAGCTGGTGGCACGCCCGGCCGGAAGTTCCTAGCGAGAAGCAATGCTACCCCGATTTCAAAGAATATCAATACACCCAATGCCTCAAGAGCCTTCAATCAACACCACAATACTGGACATCATTCAGCAACGCCCGCCAAAACGCAGTGGTCATGTGCCAGGCCAGCAGAGATGTCATCGAGCGAGAAAACCACCTCGAGATATTCAAGAACCTGACCCAGGTGCTGGGTGATGTGACATCGAACATGCAAAAGACGACCGAAGAGTACGAGTCTTTGATCCGTGAGCAGAGGCAGTACTCTGAAGAAGCTCGCGACTCTCATCAGCAGCTCAAAGAAGACATCCAGGCGGTTCAGGAGAAGGCCGTCGCCACTGTTGGCGCACTCGATGATAAGTTTCATACTTTCATGGAGGTGTCAATCTCGGATCTCATCACAGCTCTAGCCGAGAGTCAGAGCACCGAGATTGACCGGATACATGAAAGGATGCAGGGTTTCTCGCAGGAGTTGATGCTGGAAAGCTCACAACTGGCGAATCAGTTCACTGGCGAACTCCAACAGTACCATGATCTGGCCAAAATCAGTATACAATCCAATCACGAGGCGCAAGTCGACAGCTATACCGTCCTGGCAGGCTACATGGGCGTCACACAGAATACCATCAATCGAACGAACGATATCGCAGATCGCTCCCTTTCTACAGTCGACAGTATTGCGCAGCGCTTAGACATTTTCGAGACGCAGACTGAGCACATTGCCGAAGGTTTCGCTTTCCTAAGTGCGATACCAGCACTTGTTACACTACTCGTCCGCAGCTTCTTAGCCATGGTCGGTACGCTATTCATCTTCACTGTCCTGTACAAGCTCAACACGAAGCTCGCGGCCTACACTGCCGGCGCTTGCAGCTCCGCCTTCCTCTTGCACACATGTGGCATTTTCGACTGGCTCGGCGATCTCCCCTCCCGCATCACCAAACTCCATACCGAACCTCCTCTTGCGACTGTCTCAGGCATGTCATCTTGGCAGAAGGGCGCCGGTGTCATTCTTCTGCTCTGGCTCGCCGCCTACCCGGTATGCCGCATCAATGCCTACCTCGGAAATCTCATAGCCACGACACTGAAGCGCGTCCTGAGCCCAATCTGGATCAGCGAGTATAGCAACAAAAACGGCACGGGGTTCTTGCCGAGCATTGAGATTCCCGCTAAGTATCCTCGTCGTACCGATGACCGTTATCACCGGAATGATGTCGGTTATCGCAACTATCCGAACTACTCGAAATCGGCCTCACCACCTAGCGACAACTAGCAACCAATGCGTGCGACGCGCTATCCGGAGATCTCGACGTTAACGTCAACATATCATCAGCACATTTACGACATATATCTCTAAACGGCTTCTCAAAAAGCGCTCATTGTACCAAAAACCATCTTTCGTCGGTCGACACATATTCAGCTCGCGATATACCCTTGACTTTTCTTACCGTTCTATGGCAGTATTTCCACGGCGTTGGAGCAATATTTCATATCTTACTTGGGTGATCTCGACATATTATATCAGCAAAAAGGCAGAGTGGAGGAACCCGGTTAACTTGGCAGATGTATGGCGGAGACCTTTATATTTATTCTTCAATATCATAAACTTGTAATTCATCCTTGGATCAGGGAAAGATCTATGCATGCTTGACATGCTCTGCTCCACTGACCGTGTACAGCCCAGCCTAGATCTAATCCGACTCATCATCCGGCAACTCCTGAATCCTGCCCGACCGATACGCCTCCTCAACCGGATTCTGCACATCCATAACACCCGTCGCTTTCAACCTCTCGAACAGCACAAACAACCTCTCAGCCTCCCTCTCCTTCTCCTCTTGCGTCATAGGCTCCATCTGCACATCCTCCTCCTTATCCAACCTCTGCCCCGTAATAGGGTTCACAGGAATACCCCCATCCACGTCACCCGCCGGCGCATTCGCTTTCACCAAATCTTCTGGCATGCTAATATTGTTCGACATGAGGAAACCAGACGCATACCCGTATCCCACGTTATGCACGAATGTTGCTGGGTCTTTATGCGAGAGTTCGAATAATAGAGAGGAGATTGAGCCGCGGAGCGCGGGTGTCATTGCTGACGTGGAGAGATTGAGGAGCCGTGAGGATAGGGTGTTTGATTTCCCGAGCGGTTTATCGCGCTCCTCGGTTGTGGGAAGGAGCATCTCCTCCATGGTCTTCTTCACGTCTTCGGGTGCGAATTCGTAGATACGGCGGATGAGCGTTAGAACGGGAGCAACAGCATCATCGAGTTCTTTGGGTGGGTAGGCGATTAGGGCGCGGGACAGGATGCAGATTAGGTGTCTTGCGTTTGTTCTCGGTTCGAAAGACGGGAACACAGCCTTTTTGCCTTCTTCGCACTCTAGGTCGAGGTGCAGGAGCACGTTTACTAACTCGCGGGCTGGCACTGTTAGGGGTGGTTCGGTGACGCCGCGCCGGACGAGGATCTTGAAGACGCTGGGTATGGAGGGGGTGAAGTGGGGGCTGAGGTCGGTGTGGAAGTGGATTATGTTGAAGACGAGCTTGAGGGTTTCGGCGAGCGCCATGAGTTCCATGGGTTGGTTGTGTCCTTTTGTACCTGAGGGGGCGGACTTGGAGTATCGCGCAGCATGGCGCGTTATGGCCGCGTTGATGCTGGAGGCTAGGGAGTTGGAGCGGACGAGTGAAGCGTAGTCGAGGGTTGTGTCGTAGGTTGTGAGGAAGAGGATGCGGGAGGCGAGGAACTCGTTGTCGATGCTGTCGCTCTGCTCAAACATCAGTATAGCCCTATGTCTAATCGTCGCTGATGCCTGCCTACCTTCAGCTTCTCCGCTGCGTGTGGGCCATGGCCTAGATCGACGAGTATCTGGCGCGTCTTGGGTTGGAGGAGAAGGGCGTTGGCTATACACCGTAGAGCCTCTTGTGACGCAACAGTGGTCTCTCCGTCAAATGCATGGCGTCCTAGTGTCCGAAGGCCCTATAACGGTCACTATGCCGTTCCCATCGCTCTGCGCAAAGTGTAGCGTACATCTTCTGTGAATATAGGATCGGAGTTCTCGACTGATCGGCCGTAGACTTTAAGCTGTTCGAGTAGCTGTTGCTTTTCTAGCCGATCAGTCAGCGCAACGTATGCGTGTATATTGTAGGAGACATACGCTCAGTAGACAGCTTCTTCGCGTCCAGATCGGCTTTCAGTTCGGAAAGGATTCTGGAGACGTCGTCGAGCTTTGCTGTGACACTGTTAGTAACGAGTCACATAAGATAATACTCCTGTGAAAGAACTGACCTCTCCCCGTTCTTTGCGACAACATGGCGGTTGCGTTGCAGGACACGATCAGAGCGCATCACGTCACTCAGGGTGGAAGCTCGCGCTCGGAAAGCCCCACTATTGTGGGACCTGCATCGACTGTCGCATTCCAGGGTCCGCATCAACAAGCAACGAACCACAACAGGTGCCATGAAGCAGGGAGCCATATTCTATTCACGAATGCCTTGATCGTTTATCGTTTTTAGAACAACTATTATTCCATCTGGTGTGATGCTCTTACATACTGTTGCAGCATCATGCTATAAGAGTAGCATCCAGTTCTAGAATGCGCGGATCTTTTAATGTATCCTACTATAACGAGAAGAACGATAATATGCGCTGAAGGACTTCTGCACATCAGACTGGCACAACAAAACATGTTTCGGACGCAGGGGGCGGGCGCTGGCTCG